ACATTATTATTACGAACTTGTATCTCATGACGTATATTTATATAAGTATATACGATGCTATATATATATATATATATACCGACATGTTGAAAGCTGTAGTTTGAATTATGTTTCTCAGAATAATTTTTACATCGTTAAATTTGTTTATATTTAGAAATTATGTGCGATAACATTTATGGACAAACAGACTCAATTTCTAATACTTAGAATGAAAAAGAAAAAAAAGACATTTAAAATAAAATATATCCTCATTTTGAAATTAAAACACCTTCAAGTATAATAGGTTAAAATACTTTCTATTCTATAATTAAATATCTATTATTAATTATTAAATCACAGAATTTATTATTAAATCACAGAATTTATTATTAAATCACAGAAGAAGTGTGGAATCATATTTTTCGAAACATGCATCAATTAGGAGAACAAAATTTTTGTTAACAAATATTCGACCGATTTATTAAACATTATTTATTAAGCATGATTTATTGAACATTGAACGCACGTGTGGAATTTAGCACCTAACTCTCACTCCCGTGCGAAAAATAACGGGTCGTATTCATGTGTTAGTAATGCTTGCGGTATTCGAAACTTTCAATATTTCGCGGAACCGATGTTTAAAAATTCGGGGCCTCTAATAAATTCAAGTTCTTTTTTTCCGCAGAAATAAGGATTCTGGAGCAGCTGTTTGAATATTCATTAGGAAACAATAGAGGCTTCTTTGCGAGGAGTGTGCTAGGGTTCAAGCTATAGGTGGATTACGTAGCTATAAATATACGGCAAAAAGATCCATCTGCATTGTTTCTTCTAGGAATCAGAATTTTAGCTTCTGCTGCTGGTATTTATTGGGCTGCTGACCTCATAAAATTTTCAAGGGAAAACTTGCGACAGTTTACATGTGCTCGTATCTACGTTAATATATAAATTTCGCAAGCTGTAAGGAACGTATAATACAATCATTCTCAGAAAATATTTTATATTGGATCAATATTTTGTATTGTTCAATGCAAACTTCTTGTTATATAACAATTGAACTTGAAATTAAAGAATTTATAATCCGAAATGTGTGTTTGACAAATTAAATTATAATAAGTAAACTGCAGATCTTTATGCATTTACGACATACGCACATTTGTAAAATGTATGGTAACGTGTAAATTAGCAACAACTGATAGCAGTTTTATTTGATTTCCTAATTCAAATTTTTCTGTAAT